GGGGGATAGACACACACCCAGCGCCTTTGGGCTCAGCCTCGCTGCAGCTTGGGGACCTTCGGGAAGATGATGTGTCCCTGGGAGGTGACAGTGCCCACAGTTTCACCTGTCCTGTCCCTCGGAGACCGACGTGCTCCTGGGGAGGGGGACAGGGGGGTTGGTTTGGGAAAGCTGGAGGTGTCCCCTTCCCTAAATCCATGCTCCCTCCCAATTTACGTGAGGGCGCTTCCAGCTGGCAGGAGGGCCGGCAGGGCTCAGGCTGGGCAAGGTGGCACACAGAAGCGCTGCAGGAAATATAAACCTAGAAGCCATGGGTGGGCAGTGTCAGAAATCGACAGTGCTGGGGGGGTCTCGGGTGCTGAATTCCCACCCCTCCTCCCCATCACCTCTCCCTCCAGCACTGCCATGGAGGGCGGCTCCACAAAGGTGAAGGTGGAGATGACGAAGCGCTGGTAGTGGCTCGGGAACGGCAGCTGCGGCGAGGCCGGTCCCATGGGCACAAGCTGGGTCCTGTAGTTGTCCCCTGTGAAGGGGCACCTGGGCATACGAAAGGGTTGGTGTGGGTGACACCCCCTTTTCATCCTGCTGTCGCCAGTCCCCCCTGCCACAGTGCTCACCCGTCTACCAGGATGGGCCACTGGGGCTCAGCTGCAGCCTCGGTGCTGGGGGAGGCCCAGCAGTGGTGCAGGACCAGCACCAAATTGGGGTCCGTTTTATGTAGGAGCCGAACCTCCACGTAGATGGGGTCCCGCAGCACCCGCACCAAGGGATAGTCGCCCTCGGGGTGGTAGGAGCTGTAGTTTTCATCTGTAGGAAGGGCGAGAGGCTGAGCAGGTTTTGGGGAGGGAGGGAACAGGCGGTGAAGTTGGGGGGACCAGCAGATGGGCTGCTCACCAGTGGCAATGCGCAGTTGGATCTCCAGGGGCCCCGGCATGGCCAAGGGGGTGGCTGTGGGGGGCACGGCCACCTCCATGCGAAGTGGCAAGAGGTCGCTGGCATTGTAGATGCAGCGAGCCTGGAGGCTAGGGATGGGGGTGGGGAGGAAGCAGAGCAGATCTGGATGCCCCCACACCCCCCCCACCATGGCATCAGCTCCCCCAGCCTGAGGAGGAGGGTGAGCGCCAAAGGAGCCTGGCGAGGCAGGCGGGGGTATTCTAGATGGGCTTTGCTGAGGGGGGATCCCAGCTCTCTGCTGGGCTTTGCCCACCCTCCCCTTACATGTAGATGCTGTCACGTGTGACGGAGCCGCGGGGAGACCCTTGGACATCGATGGTGGAGATCAGCTGGTTCTCATAGATCAGCCGGTCCTCGATCACCTTGGGGTGGCCACACACAGAGGGTCAAGGTCCCCACGGCGGCTCTGAGCGACTTCTGGGGTGGGGTGTGGGGTCCCATCCCTTACCTGGACAGTGGTGCCACACTGCGTGACAGGGAAGTGGAACATGACGAAGGTTTCTGTCACCCTGTGGGGCTCGCAGCCGGCCTGGCCGCTGGCAAGGCGCACGCTGTCCAGGTTGTAGGGCTGGGTGACGATGCCCCGCGGCACCACCACCACGAAGTGCCCGTCCAACAGACACTGCACAGTGGCTGCAGCACGAGGGACCCATCCATCAGCCCAGTGGGGACCCTAAATCCCCCCTTTTTCACCCTGGCAGAGGTGGTTGGCAATGGGGGTGTCCCCAGAGCCCCCCACTAAACTTCCTACCAGTGTTGCCATAGTAACAGGGGGCCACACGGTCCATGTCATCGTAGCAGCAGCCCGCTTGCAGGCAGGCCTCCTGGCCCTGCGGGGCCACGCAGGGAATCCTCCCCACAGCCACTTGGCACTGCTCCCGTGTCAACTGGATACCTGAGGGTAACACAGAGGGGACACTGCCCTGAGAGCATCCCCCTGACCTGCCTCCTCCTGAGCATTCCCCTGCCAAAACACCCTCCTGCCCGCCCTGAGCATCCCGTCCCAGCTGTGAGTTCTGTTGGCTTACCTGCCCCTGCCGAGGAGTAGAAAAGGGTTGTGGATTGCAGTAGGCTGGGCTGGGATTGAAGCCCAGGACGAAGCAAGCCAGGCTGGGCTTGGGGTTGCAGGCCTGGACGCACCAGACCCGGCTGGGGCTGAGCCTGAAGTCCAGGGCGTACTAAACCCGGTCGGGATTGGAGTCCCGGGTGTGCTAAAGCCGGTTGGGAATGGCTGGGATGTACCAGCCCAGCTTGGCTCTGGAGCCCAGGGCGGAGGAGCCCAGCCTGAGAGTGGGTCTGAAGGTTGGGATGAGCTGAGCCTGGCTGGATTTGAGGCTGAGCTCCCGAGTGTACAAACCCTCCTTGAGTCTGAGCACCAGCATGCATTAAACCAGACTGGGCGTTGTGGGAGACCAGACCAGGCTGGTTCTGGGACACAAAGCCTGGACGAAGAAGACCTGGTTGGGGCTGAGCTCCAGGGTGCACTAGCCCAGGCTGGTTTTGGCTCTGAAGCCCCGGGCGAAGAAGCCCGGGTTGGTTTTGGTTCTGAACCCCTGGGCGAAGGAGCCCAGGCTGGTTTTGTCTTTGAACCCCTGGGCGAAGGAGCCCAGGCTGGTTTTGGTTCTGAACCCCTGGGCGAAGGAGCCCAGGCTGGTTTTGGTTCTGAACGCCTGGGCGAAGGAGCCCAGGTTGGTTTTGGTTCTGAACGCCTGGGCGAAGCAGCCCAGGTTGGTTTTG